AATGCTTTCTACTTGCAGGGCTGAGTGGGTGCAGAAAGATGTACATGGCCTACTGGGCAGTGCAGCCAGCTTAATTCAGGCAGTTGTGCTACTCTGTTGGTACTAAAATAAAATCTATAAAGAGCTCTGGTGTAAAGTAATACGGTGCAAACTTACTTCAGTAAGTAAAATGAATGACAAACTCATTCAGCAGGATCCAACTTTTATCCTGAGACACTACTGTGGCTGAGGAGGACTACTCTTATGATCCTCCCTTGAACTACCTCTCTAATAGTACTTAAAGCAATAGAAACACATCGAGGAACGCTGCAGCCTCCAGAGCTGCTATTCAAGCTAATGATGCCATTAAATCAGTTCGAAATTATTCTGATACCCAGATCTGACATGCTCATACAGCTGCAAGCAGTAATTGGCAGCCTAGAATACCACCCTTAGATTCAAGACAGCTCTCATGAGGCAGAACAGCTGTCAGCTTGCTGGCTCTCCAACACCCATTCAGTGCAGAAAGCAAAACTCATCAGTGTCTCTGTGACTCGCAATGCAGTCAAAGGGGTTTCACTTCACTGCAAGAACAAAAAAGGTTTCCTGTAACAGGAGTAATTTTCTCCTTTTTATTTTCTGCTTTCAACTATACTTAATAGTACCAATCTTTTAATACTAATATAGTATTTTTACTCAGAAGCTTAGGTACCTTGATTTCTCAAACACAGTAGCTCTCTGTGAGTCAGGTGAAAAAACTATCAGGTTTCATAGCAGATGCAGAAAAATAACTAGTGTTAAAAACTACATACCATTGATGTGCATTTGTGCTTTATTTGTCTTAGTTACAAATAGCTTCACATGAGGTGTTAACAAAATAAGTGAAATGAAGAGAAATGCTTATTGCCTCTGAACTTCTTAGGAAGTTTCATGGAAAATCAGAGAAATCTCATGGTGGCCCAGTAAGTGTTATTGGTAGGATGATGTGCCATATGAAATAAATGACAAGGTTTTTCATTTAACTTATTTCTATGGTTCCAATGTCCTGGCTTATTAGCATAGTCCTTACAACACTGTTAAAACTTTTTTATTTGCTACCTTTTCTCAGTAACCTGTGAAGCCAAAAAAAGGGGCTGAAAAACTTGACAAACAAAGAGTAGTGAGAGCATAACACCAGAGGACACAGATCACTGGCCAAAAAATATTCCAATGATAAATATACTCAAAATATTCTTTAAACAATTTTCATTTTATTCCATCTGATGAAAGTCATTACAACACCCCATTCTCTTACAGAATTCACCAATGAAAAATATCTTTCCATTTAAATGAGGTATGCCTAAACAGTGCACAATGTTGTTGTAGGCATTTCATCTTTTTTTCAAGTTTGATTTAGCACAGGAACAAACCTTCACAAAAATGTAAATACAGTGAAGTGGAAAAAAATTAGATATGTGAGCCTTAATCAAATTGAAAGTAAAATTCAGCAGGCCACAAATATTTCAATTTAATTTATTTTACACAAAGTAATTAAAACCAAGGAAACTTTCCAGTGTAGAGAATTAGGGCAAGGGGGAGAATATTACAATGTCTTAAAAGCAAAATTGTGAGCGTAGCATTAGTACAAAAAGCTAATTTTTTTTTCACAAGTAGAGATTCAAACAAATTCAAGAAAAAAAAATTAAAGAAATCCCTACTTGGAACTTTGCCAAGCCAGATCCTAATATTCCAGCAAGGACTATATACAGTTTATAGAGTATCTGGAACGGACTTGCAGGAAAGAAACTCATCACAATTGACAGGCTCGGCGAGTGCCTTGTTAGTACAGAAATCAGAAGTGATAGGCAGACGGTTATATTCCAAGTTTAACATTTTCCAACACTTGATATAAACCATGCCACAAACAAGAAAGTGTGTAACACCAGAAACTTAGCTCATTGCTGTCTGCAAGCAACAAGGATGACTGGTAACAAATGCCTTCTTTACAGAGCTGACTGGAGTTGAATATACAAGATAATTCTAGTCAAACGCACAGTAGCCACAGCACAAAAAGCCTCTTGCAAGTTTATTTGTACTGGTACTACATTTACATGGCTGTATCTGCAATGATTCTGTGTGTATATTTAGCAATTCTGCACGAAGAGTTACTTCCAAAATGACAAAAGCAGCCTTTTCTTGAAGAGGTGTAGAAAGCTCCTACAGACCTATTAGCCCTAAACTGAGCTGGACTTGCAAAGGCTCCAGCATGGCAGCATTTGCAATTTCTGCCTCACTGCAACAAGACAAAACTCACATAAGGCCTTTTTGTATGGATGATCACCAAGGCTTTGCCAGAGGCATTAGAGTAGTCCAAAACAAACAAACAAACCCAACAACCTACCACTAACAAAATTCCAAATCTTAAATCCTCCACCATCTCTCCCCTTCAAACATTCTTGTCTATGAACAGTTTCCCAGAGACTCCACGTGAAGGCAATCCAACAACCAAATCTTGTCCAGTCTATAGAATTACATAACGCACCTTTTTCTTTATATTAACAAGCATTTTTAGAACTGTTTAAAGATGAAATGAGACAATTTTTGTGGCTATTGCGATATTTTAATTCTGAACCATTATGTTTTAGAAGTACATGCATTATGGCCTTTGGAACAAGTTATCCATCCTGATTAAAAAAGGCTAGCTCCTTGCAAAAGGCAACTTGGAAAGTGCAGCATGTTCTAACTATTCAGCTCTAGGTAACTAGCACACAAATATAGATCTAGACATGTTTGTATAAAATTTATTTATGGTTCTTCTTAACTGCACTTCTCCCCTTGAAAGGGCCGAGACACCACCTGGATAATGACCTAATACAGCGGTGTCCTTCTCAGTGCAGGCAGGAGGTTCAGCCACGTATCTTGCAGCTGAAGGTTTCTGAAAGAGCCACTACACAACATTTGGCACTTTTGTTTCATTAACAGGAAAAGACAAACCAAAAAGCATTTCTGGGCTACAGCAACACCTTCAGAGGATCAGCAGTTAGCACCTCACTGCACTAGTAGTGCAACAGTTACTTCTTTAGAAGTAGCTGAACACTGAAGTTTTCATACAGCCAGAAGCCACGGCCGCAGTCACACACTTCAGACAGCTGACACCAAAAGCACCCCCAGGAGTACCTGACTCCAGGAAAGGGCAATACATCTCCACCAATTCTAATACCTATTCAACAATGCACTTACACAGGACATTCAGAAAACTGAATGAATGACAGTCACTGCTGGTTTGTTTTCTCCCAAAGCTAAAAATGCGGAGAACTCATCATCCTCCAGACAAGCATCTCCCTAGCTCTCCACAGTTTTCCAAAATGACAACCACATTTGATCTGCTCACACACCACATTTAACCTAACAGATACATGCTGGTCATCCAAGTGGGAAAAAGCAGAAAATTGCACAGATCATGAAAGCTGAAAATCTCAATTTTACCCTTGTAACTGGTGGCTATTGCTAACAGAGCTCATGGTTTAATATTCAAACAAAGAAACATGGATCAAGCTGCCTCTGTTCTAAGCCTCTTAACCAGCACATTCTAAAATACTGGCATCAAACTGCTGATCACCCTAAACAAAGTATTCATACAAGAAAGTATCCAGAAACTAATAGTGAGCATTATGCAGCAGAGGACTAGGGAAGTCTATTATCCCAGAACACAACATATTGCATTATACCAACTCAAGATAAAAAGCAATTCACCTTCCCCAAACTACAGCTTTACAAGATGATGCCCTTTTTACCCCCCCAAAATAAAAATCTTAAACGTCAAACCTTTTATAACAAAGACACTCTGTGTAATTTGTTGCAAGCCTAATTCAAAGACCACTGAAAGTAAACTCAGTTCATCTATTTCAGTGTGGTCTTGATTAGACCCTACGGAATAAAAGAGAACCACTACCTCCTCCCCACCACCTCAAAAAAAAGCCACAAACAAAAGAACAACCCAAGTGAAGTTCTCCTAAAAATGTCCCAGCATCTTACAACTTTTTCAAGTTATTACAGCATAAGCCCTACAAAGTGTATCTGTACATACAAATAACTAATGGTTATGGAAGCAATAAGGAAAATTTTATTCCCCCATCTGAGCTCGTCAAGAGTAAAAGCTACAGTGGGCAAACACCTCAGCACAAAAGCTAACACCAGACTGAATTCAGGAGTTCTACTTCATTTAACTCAAATCAAACTCCAGCAAATTTAATTCAGACATGTTAAAATAGTGGTCCAGAATGACAAAAAAAGTGCATGCTTTCATCTGTAGACACCATACTTCCAGAAGATACACCTTTAAAACTAAGTTCACGCTTCAGTTCCACTAAAATACCACTGAGAGAAGGAAGATGTATTTACAGAAGAGCCCCACTTACTCACACGAATGTTATCCTTAGAGGGCACGCACGTATTCACAAACAAGCAAATTATTCTCTGGGGCTCCTATTCCCAAGTCCTCTACTGATGCAAGTTTTATTTGGGGGAAGGGAAACCAGAGAGCGTCAAATACTCCAAATAACCAAGAATGATGCGCGACGAGCCTGCAGGGACGATGCCAGGATCCCGCTGGACGTCCCAGCGACACCGGAGCCCTCTGGGAGCAGGTCCCGCACGGGGCGGCGGGCCGTGCCCATCCCCGCGCATCTCCGGGGCCGAGCGCGGGGCACGCCGAGCTGCACACGCACACACGGCGGCTCCCGCTCTCCCCGGGCTACAAAGGGAGGAGGAACGCGGTCGCTAGGGGGGGAAGCTGCATCCTCTGGAGGGAGATGGTCCTACCTCCCGGCCGAGGACGGCGACGGGGGAGCGGGAGAGCGCAAGAACGACGCGGCCCCTCACACACGGCGGCCGGGAAGAAGGGTGCTGAGAGGGCATCTCCCGGGGTACCCTCCCGGGACTCGCCGGCACCGCGTTTCCCGCCCCTGCGGATCCCCATCTTCTACACGGGGAAGGTTTATTTCGAGGGGGCGAGAGGGCAAAGAAGGGTCGCGGTTACTCACATGGGCTCCAAGGTTTTGCTGAGCCAGGATTTCAGCGCCTCGAAGTTTTCTATGATCATTTTAACCACCATTCAGAGCGGCCCGGGCCCCCCGCCTCCCCGCCAGCAGCAACAGCAGCAGCAGCAGCCCCGGCGGCGGGGTCCGCGCCGCCCGCCGGCCGGCTGGCACCCCGGCTCCCGCCGCGCCTCCCGCACTCTCCGCCGCCTCCCGGTTGGGCAGAAGCCGCCCGGCAGGGGCCGGAGGCCCAGCGACACGGAGGGGGCGGAACCAGCCGAGCAGCGGCTGCTTTCCGCGGGCCCCGCTCTCGCCGCTCCTCTGCCGGGGAGCGCGTCCGGGGCGCAGCGCGGGTCCCCCCCGCCGGAGGGCGGCGCGGCCGAGTGTGGCGGCGGAGCGGAGCGGGACGGGCGGTGCGGAGAGGGACGGGCGGCCCCCCCGCCGCCCTGAGCCGCAGCGCCCGACACAGCGAGCGCCCGAGCGAGCGGGTAAGATGGCGGCGCCCCGCTGTCGCGAGAGCCCAGAGTCTCGCGAGGCCGGGCGGCGCGCGGGGGCTGCCGGGAGGCGGGGCCGGGCGGGGAGGCCGCGCAGCGGGGGCGGGTGGGGGGTTCTGAGGGGCCGGGGACCCTTCGGAGCCCACGGCGTGACGGAGCCTTGGCTGGGCGCAACAGTGCTCCAGGGACAAAAGAAATACCATGGTATATTCCCGACTGCTGTTTGAAATGCGCATGTACTTGTTTTGTTTCTTGGAACACTGATAGTCTTACCTAATATGATCACAGAACGGGTGAGACTGGAAGGGACCACATTGGGTCACCTGGCCCAGGCTCCCTGCGCTGGCAGGGTCATCCTAGAGCACGTTGAACAGGGTTGGTTCCAGATCGTTCTTGAATAACTCCTTTGAGGAACACAACCTCTCTGGACAATCTGTTCTTGTGCAGGGTCACCTGCGCAGTCAAGAAGTTCTTCCTCAGATTTAGGTGGAACTTCCTGTGCAGCAGTTTCTGCCCATTGCCTCTTATTGCCCAGCGCTACTGAACAGAGCCTGGCTCCATGCTCTTGGCACCCTCCCTTCAGATAATTATTGATGAGATCCCCTCTCAGTTGTTTCTTCTTGAGGTTGAACAGGCCCAGCTCCCTCAGCCTTTCCTTGGAAGAGAAATGCCCCAGCTCCTTAATCCACAGCATCTGGATCTGCTCCAGGAGCTCCATGTCTGTCCTATACTGGGGAGCCCGGAACTGGACACAGCACTGCAGAGGGGCAGGATCATCTCCCACAGCCTACTGGCAATGCTGTTCCTGAGGCACCCCAGGATACCATTGGCCTTCCTGGCCACCAGGGCACACTGCTGGCTCATGGACAACTTGTAGTCCGTCAGGAACCCCAGGTCTTCCTCAGCAGAGCGCTTTCCAGCAGGTCACCCTCAATCTGTACTGGTGCTTGGGGTTAGTCCTTGTAATAAGCCACAAGGTGGACACAATTGCTGCTCTGGGGTGCAGCAGAGAGCAGCCCCCCAATCTCCCAGGCAGCCAGGAGTTGCTGCAATAGGGAACCACACCCTGGACAAGCAGGAAGGGAGGCACAGCCTGTACTCCCTCAGCTCCCCACATGCAAATTCCCATAAATGTTTGGAAATGACAGGAAAAGGAAAAACATCCAAATTTTTTTTTACTTTTTTTTTTTTAAAAGAAGATGTAGGACCACAATAAAAGTGTTTGAAAACACGGGATTTGGCAGCAAAGTTCTGTGTCTTCCTGACATGGGGGGGTCCCTGCTCCTCAGGGTGCACCTGGTGAGAGCCCAGCCCCCGCTGCTGCTCAGACCCCCATGGACAGCAGTGGTGGGAGAATGTAGGACGGCTCCCTGCACACCTTGCCCACCAGTGTGGCACCTTCCCCTGAAAAGTTATGTATGTGCTGCTTTCTCTAGTACCCGGGGTTAACCAAGCCCTGGAAGAAAACCCTCCTGTTTGATGCCCCTCAGTCAGATTGATCTGCACTTCCCCAAGATCTGCATCCCACCTGAGCACCTGAGCCAGGCGTTCTGCACAAAGGCGAGTGTTTCACAGAAATTACTCACTCTGCCTTCTTGGGGTGACTCCTGAGCTGCCTGCCTGGTGTTCTCAGAGGGAGAGGAACTTCAGGTCATTCACTGTCACCGAGACAGCTAAATGAGAGCTGGAGGAGGCTAAGGCTGCCTGCACACAATTATTTGTGACTTGATTATCATCTTTGAAAGTTTGTTGAAGACTGGAGAGTGTGGCAAGCCAACCAAATACGCTGCCAGCTTAGTAGGTACTTTGGTGAGGATTTCCCAATTACAAGATACACTTCAGTTTCCCTGCATAGCGGAGAAGGAACAGCACATCCTGTCAGTAGACAGAAAATCACCAGAGCCTGAAATTTTCTGGAGACTGTTCTATAAACCTGTAAAAAGTCCTTGATTCACAGTCACCAACTTGTACGTTTACTCCCCGTGAACATGTAAAAAGGGTCAATAACCTTGGGATTCTGATGGGTCTCTGAAGGGACAGGCACATAGAGATTAAACATTGTGATAAGAATCTTAATTTGCTTCTGGATCTGTCCCCTCAATTCTTTGCAAAAGCCAGTGTCTAGTGAAAATAATTTAGACTGCACTCAGACAAGCACTGCAACTACCTTTGATCCTTGGATATACAACAGCCAGCAAAAAACCACAGACTCTAAGGCTTCCCCACATAAATGTATGGATATAATCACAGTAGCAACTTTTCTGATATTTAATTTTCTAAACTGCTTTTTCAGCCATTTGGGAGCACAATGCTGTTAGTAAATGAAATTAGAGATCACAAAAATGAAATTAGAGATCACATTTTATGCACTGGATAAGACTTGTCTGTATGTGGTAGTTTCTGAACATTTCTGTATTTATAGAAATGTGATGATGTCACACTTCTGTAATAATATTCAGAATAACTGTAATAAATAAATTAATAAATAAATACTGACATTCCTAGTTCTAGAGTTTGCAGACTTAAAATCCCAAAAGCCTTATAAATATTTGCAGCCCACCTCTTCAGAAGTGACTGCAATGTTTTGTAACATCTTTTGGGCAATGTCCATTTCATTTCACAGCTGGAATTACAAGAGTACAAAATAAAATTATTTAATAGATCTGAGGAAATAATTTTCTCTAAAATATAAAATGTCTATATATATATATAAGGTGGCTACTATTTAAGATAGAAATACCTTTATGTTCTTAATAGTTTTTAAAACACACAAAGAAGGAATAGTTTTTACTTGACTCAAACTTCATTCACATGTGAAATCAGTACTTCAACTACAACAAAAATCATAAAGATCATGTTTCATTTAAGGCAACATAAGAATCTGTGCAAAGGGTCAAAGTAATAATTAACTTCTACAGTGTCATAATTCTGTAAGACAAATAAGTTTTTATTTCTCCTGCAGCTGTTCAATATAAAATTCACAAACTGTTAAAGGGAAAAAAGAACATAACCTAAATTTCATCCCTAGCTGTACAAAAAAGCCCTGAAGGGGGTAAGAAGGAAAAGAGAACAGGCTGAACAGCTATCCTTAGATTTCAATAATTTAATACTTTCATTTAAGGAATCAGTTACAGCTGATACATGATAGTGACATCATATGGGTACCAAACATTTATTAGGAACTAAATAACTACCTAATAATTTCAAATCTTTGAAAATTGACTTATACTGTGGATTAATATAAATGATACATTTTAACATCAATAAACCCAAACTATGAATAAACTGTTATGAAAATAAAGTGATACAAGTCTAATTCTCTTAATTCATGCATCACAGACTCCTAACAGCCCTTTTGGCTTACGAAAACTTTGTTAAGTTCTTTAGAGTAGTATAGATGCTTTCATGTGTAATAACTCCCAAAGTTCATAGGTTTGGTGCGCACTTAGGTTGAAGTAATCTTATCTAACTCGATGTAGTGACCTTTGATGTCTAGAAACAATGGGTTGTATTTATTCACATTTTTATTGGATCCCCTGCTAACATGAGAGCTGAATGAGGCCAGTGAAGCTGAGAGATCGATCCTTCCTGACATTTCTTGAGATTTTTTTTTTCACTGACTCCTCTCCAAAGCCATTGAACTTTTACCCATATGCAATCTTTGTCAATGTGTAAAGCTGCAATTTTTAAGTGTTAAAGATTTTTATTTGAAAGGTGAAATTTTCCATAGATGTCTTTTTAACCCAGATTTGTCCCTCTTTTTTTAAATACAAAAAGCAGCTGTAGAAGAGAATAACTTTCAGACACATCATCCAACTTTTTGCCAAACCTATACTACCATCATTAGTCCCTGTTTCTGCCATACAGGGGAAAAAAAAGGTTAATTCTTCTTTTTTACTTGTTTGTCTATGGTTTGGTTGTTTTGGTTTGGCTTAGGTTTTTTCTTTATTGAGTTTAATTTTCTTTTGAAGAAAGCCAGACTGGTCTATGTTACTAAAAAAATTCTTAAATCTATGCTTCTAACACTTCACCTTTTGATTTAGGAAAAGGCAATTGCATTTGCAATTGTATTTAAACATTAATCTCTGACTGGAGGTTTCTTCTAGTGTTAAATGTGATTCTGGTTTTGTGTAGCGATTATAACACACCAGACTTGGGGTTCCTAGTGTCTGTTTTCTCCCAGGAAAAGCATTTCTGTGAGAAAACATGGGCTCCTGTTTTCTCCCAGAAAAAGCATTTCAGTATTATAGACCTCAGGTGTATCAGACCTGTTATCAAGGGTTCCTTGTCCCTGAAATTTAACACAAGCCCTAGCATTAACACACAGGCTAAAAAGCAGGGCTGCTGAAACTGGCTGGCATCAAGATGGGTCAATGAGCTAAACCATTTTGTATGTAGCTCAGATTTTTAGTTTGTACTGTCATTTAGTTTTGGGGCTTGCCATTGGTTGCTATCTAGACAAATATCTGTAAATGCACTGCCTTTACTCTCTCTAAAAGGATCAAATGATATTTCTCCTGATGCTCCTTGTCTATGGTAAGTTTCATTTCTGGAGGTGTCAATATGAGTTTTGAGAATCATTTCTCAGAATTGATCCAGACCTGAAGACTGCCCCTTCCATCCTTC